TCCCCCTTTCCCGGATTGGACACCTGAGGTAGGGCTTGGAAGGGATTTGGTTTTTGTTTTGGGAAACCAAACAACAGGAAGTCAGTGTTTGAGGGCGGGCTTCTTTCCCCCTTACATCACTTCTGAAAAGGGTGATTCCCCTCCTCCAGTTCCTCTGGGTTACGTTGGCTCTGAAGGGGTTTAAACCACAGACCCAGGATAAGGTAGTGTGTGTGTGTTGTGCTGCTGTTCCTGTAAACTTTCAGTCATTGTTCTAACGCTAGTTAGCAATGGCTCCAGAAACTACCTTCAACTAACTTCAAACTGCATACAGAGACATAAAAATGGTATCCATGAGTTAATCTAAAAAGTGGCTTAATTGCCAAAATCTCAAAAGCCTTAAGAGTTTTGGTTCTCATGATTGGTTAAAAAAAAGGACTGTTGCCAAGTATTGACAGCCTGTCAACTGCTCGACAGCCAATCAATGGCTGAGGGGGACGGACATCCTTGGCCACCGCTGTACCCTGATTGGTCCATCTCCATGCCAATCATTCTGATTTCAGTGTCAGGGTCCATTGATTTGAGTGTAATTGGGTGCACTCAGCAGGGATTGGGTTCAGGGCAGCATAAAAAACAACAACACTGTCCTTGTCCGTGATTGGCTGGTTGTAGTGTCAGTCACTGATGGTTACCCAATAGATGTTGTGCCCCTCCACACTGGCGGTGTGTCTAAACCCGGCAGGTCTGCTGCCAACAGACCTCAAGAACCGATACTGAAGAGGGGGAAGAAAAAGAGAGAAAATAAAAAGTGAAATCAGAGATACGCGATTAAGTAATAGAAAACCCTAGCTACTCGCTAGAGAAGAGGAGAGGACGAAGCATCATGCCGTCTCGTCGCCCGCCCTTCCCTCTCTCTCCCTCCTTTCTTGCTCGCCTCCCCCCTCTCGCTCCCTACTCTCCTCTGCTCTAGCTGCCCCCTCCCTCTACCTTCCCCTACCCCTTTGCTCTCGCGCCCGCTCCCCGCCTCTCTCCCTCTTGCCTCTCGGCGCGCTCCTCCTCTCTCCCTCTCTCTCCCCCTCTCCTCCTCCTCTCGCTCTCCCTCCTCCTCTCCCTCGTCTCGCCTCCCTCCCTCTCCCTCCCCATCGCCGCCCTCTCGCCCCTCTCGCTCCCCCCTCCCTGCTCCTCTCTCGCCTCTCGTCCCCCCCGACTCTCCCCCCGTTCTTACGCCGAGCGCGCTCTCCTCGCTCCGCAAACTTGAGATGCAGGGGGCGAACACGACAGGGGGAATGAAGAGAGACGCCAGTCCATCAGTCTATTCTTCATCATTGGTTCACCAATCTAACCTGCAGGCCCAGAAACCACATCCCATTTTCTACTGCAGTCCCCAAAAGATGAGCCAAACCCCCCCTATTTTTAAATTCGTACGGTCCCCGAGCTCTTTACACTGTTAGTCTCCTATTGACATGATACATCCAGCCCACTGAAACCCAGGGTAGAGCTGAGGAATAAGAGGGTGAGAGGAAAGGGGGAAGGAAAATTGGGGAGAATGGTAAGAAGCCCAAAGGGGGCAGATTAGCTCCCTAGGAAACGATTTCATCCCACAAAAGTTCCAACATACGCTTCCAAAAAACATCACCACACCCCACCTCTTACCCTGTAGTGCCTGATGTAATACATGTTGATGTCCTTGGAGGGGAAACTGAGACCACTATCTACTCCATCACCAGAACACCATGATCAGACACCTGTACACACAGAGAGACACACACATGTTACACACACACACGCAGCCCGTAGTATTATACACACACACACACACAGAGCCCGTAGTATTATACACACACACACACAGACACACGCAGCCCGTAGTATTATACACACACACACACACACACACACACAGACACACGCAGCCCATAGTATTATACACACACACACACACACACACACACACACACACAGCCCGTAGTATTACACACACACACACACACCGAGCCCGTAGTATTATACACACACACACATAGACACACGCAGCCCATAGTATTATACACACACACACACACACACAGTACCTTTATGCTAGGCCTGGCTACATTGTAGAGCAGCATGACTCCAGAAACAACTACACCTCCCACAATGCCGTACTGCACCTCCCAGAAACTCAACAGGAAGGTGGTCAGGAACGGCACCAGGTCAAGCTCTGAGACACACACACACATTTACACAGATTTGAAACACACACAAACACATACACAGATTTAAAACACACACACACACACTACTCACTGCGTGTCCTCCAGAACTGTATGACAACACGGTAGTCGACCATGGGAGCCACAGCACAGATGATGACTGCTGCCAGAGAGGCTTTAGGGATGTAGTAGAATGCTGGCATCAGGAAGGCCAGGGACAACAGCACCACCAGACCTCAACACCAGACAGATACCACACATTCATTACAGTATACTAACTACCACACCTCAACACCAGACAGACACCACACATTCATTACAGTATACTAACTACTACACAATACACTACCACACCTCAACACCAGGGGGTGACAAACACCACACAATAATTACATTATACTGCAGTATTATACAGTAAACACATTTACATTACATTTACATTTTACATTTTAGTCATTTAGCAGACGCTCTTAACCAGAGCGACTTACAGGAGCAATTAGGGTTAAGTGCCTTGCTCAAGGGCACATTAACGTCATTTAGCAGACGCTCTTAGCCAGAGCGACTCACAAATTGGTGCGTTCACCCTATAGCCAGTGGGATAACCACTTTACAATTTGGGGGGGGGGGGGGGGGGGGGGGAGAAGGAATAATTTAGCCTATCCCAGGTATTCCTTAAAGAGGTGGGGTTTCAAATGTCTCCGGAAGGTGGTGAGTGACTCCGCTGTCCTGGCGTCGTGAGGGAGCTTGTTCCACCATTGGGGTGCCAGAGCAGCGAACAGTTTTGACTGGGCTGAGGGGGAGCTGTGCTTCCGCAGAGGAAGGGGAGCCAGCAGGCCAGAGGTGGATGAACGCAATGTCCTCGTTTGGGTGTAGGGACTGATCAGAGCCTGAAGGTACAGGGGTGCCGTTCCCCTCACTGCTCCAAAGGCAAGCACCATGGTCTTGTAGCGGATGCGAGCTTCAATTGGAAGCCAGTGGAGTGTGCGGAGGAGGGGGGTGACGTGAGAGAACTTGGGAAGGTTGAACACCAGACGGGCTGCGGCATTCTGGATGAGTTGTAGGGGTTTAATGGCACAGGCAGGGAGCCCAGCCAACAGCGAGTTGCAGTAGTCCAGACGGGAGATGACAAGTGCCTGGACCAGGACCTGCGCCGCTTCCTGTGTAAGGCAGGGTCGCACTCTCCGAATGTTGTAGAGCATGAACCTGCAGGAGCGGGTCACCGCCTTGATGTTGGCGGAGAACGACAGGGTGTTGTCCAGGGTCACGCCTAGGCTCTTCGCACTCTGGGAGGAGGACACAGCGGAGTTGTCTACCGTGATGGCGAGATCATGGAACGGGCAGTCCTTCCCGGGGAGGAGGAGCAGCTCCGTCTTGCCAGGGTTCAGCTTGAGGTGGTGATCCGTCATCCATACTGATATGTCTGCCAGACATGCAGAGATGCGATTCGCCACCTGGTGATCAGAAGGGGGAAAGGAGAAGATTAGTTGTGTATCGTCAGCGTAGCAATGATAGGAAAGGCCATGTGAGGATATGACAGAGCCAAGTGACTTGGTGTATAGGGAGAAAAGGAGAGGGCCCAAAACCGATCCCTGGGGGACACCAGTGGTGAGAGCACGTGGTGCGGAGACAGCTTCCCGCCACGCCACTTGGTAGGAGCGACCGGTCAGGTAGGACGCAATCCAGGAGTGAGCCGCGCCGGAGATGCCCATTTCGGAGAGGGTGGAGAGGAGGATCTGATGGTTCACAGTATCAAAGGCAGCAGACAGATCTAGAAGGACAAGAGCAGAGGAGAGAGAGTTAGCTTTAGCAGTGCGGAGAGTCTCTGTGACACAGAGAAGAGCAGTCTCAGTTGAATGACCAGTCCTGAAACCTGATTGGTTTGGATCAAGAAGGTCATTCTGAGAGAGATAGCAAGAGAGTTGGCTAAAGACGGCACGCTCAATAGTTTTGGAAAGAAAAGAAAGAAGGGATACTGGTCTGTAGTTGTTGACATCAGTGGGGTCGAGTGTTGGTTTTTTGAGAAGGGGAGTAACTCTCGCTCTCTTGAAGACGGAAGGGACATGGCCAGCGGTCAAGGATGAGTTGATCAGCGAGGTGAGGTAGGGGAGAAGGTCACCGGAGATGGTCTGGAGAAGGGAGGAGGGGATGGGGTCAAGCGGGCAGGTTGTTGGGCGGCCTGCAGTCACAAGTCGCAGGATCTTATCTGGAGAGAGAGGGGAGAAAGAAGTCAAAGCATAGGGTAGGGCAGTGTGAGCAGGACCAGCAGTGTCATTAGGCTTAACAAACAAGGATCGGATGTCGTCAACCTTCTTTTCAAAGTGGTTGACGAAGTCATCCACAGAGAGAGAGGAGGGGGGGAGGAGGATTCAGGAGGGAGGAAAATGTGGCAAAGAGCTTCCTAGGGTTAGAGGCAGATGCTTGGAATTTAGAGTGGTAGAAGGTGGCCTTAGCAGCAGAAACAGATGAAGAAAATGTAGAGAGGAGGGAGTGAAAAGATGCCAGGTCGGCAGGGGATTTAGTTTTCTTCCATTTCCGCTCCGCTGCCCGGAGCTCTGTTCTGTGAGCTCGCAATGAGTCATCAAGCCACGGAGCTGGAGGGGAGGACCGAGCCGGCCGTGAGGATAGGGGACACAGAGAGTCAAAGGATGCAGAAAGGGAGGAGAGGAGGGTTGAGGAGGCAGAATCAGGAGATTGGAGGGAGAAGGATTGAGCAGAGGGAAGAGATGATAGGATGGAAGAGGAGAGAGTAGTGGGAGAGAGAGAGCGAAGGTTGCGGCGGCGCATTACCATCTGTGTAGGGGCAGAGTGAGTAGTGTGGGAGGAGAGTGAGAGAGAAAAGGAAACAAAGTAGTGGTCGGAGACTTGGAGGGGAGTTGCAGTGAGATTAGTAGAGGAGCAGCATCTAGTGAAGATGAGGTCAAGCGTATTGCCTGCCTTGTGAGTAGGGGGGGACGGTGAGAGGGTGAGGTCAAAAGAGGAGAGGAGTGGAAAGAAGGAGGCAGAGAGAAATGAGTCAAATGTGGACATAGGGAGGTTGAAATCCCCCAAAACTGTGAGGGGTGAGCCATCCTCAGGGAAGGAACTTATCAAGGCGTCAAGCTCATTGATGAACTCTCCAAGGGAACCTGGAGGGCGATAGATGACAAGGATATTAAGCTTAAATGGGCTAGTGACTGTGACAGCATGGAATTCAAATGAGGAGATAGACAGATGGGTTAGGGGAAAAATTGAGAATGTCCACTTGGGAGAGATGAGGATTCCTGTACCACCACCCCTCTGACCAGATGCTCTCGGGGTATGCGAGAACACATGGTCAGACGAGGAGAGAGCAGTAGGAGTAGCGGTGTTTTCAGTGGTGATCCATGTTTCCGTCAGCGCCAGGAAGTCGAGGGACTGGAGGTTGGCATAGGCTGGGATGAAGTCAGCTTTGTTGGCAGCAGAACGGCAGTTCCAGAGGCTGCCTGCGACCTGGAACTCCACGTGGGTGGTGCGTGCAGGGACCACCAAATTGGAGAGGCAGCAGCCACGCGGTGTGGTGCGTTTGTGTAGCCTGTGCAGAGAGGAGAGAACAGGGATAGGCAGAGGCATAGTTGACAGGCTGTAGCAAATGGCTACAAAAATGCAGAGGAGATCGGAATGAAATGGGCTAAGCATCTGGGAGTGGAGAGAGCAGGGCCTCCCTCACCAAATCTTCTAGCTCGGAAACTAAAATTGTTTCACTGAACCACCCGAACAAAAACTCTCCCAACTTCCGCCTTTGGAAATCAGAATTGTTGTGAACCACAGCGGTTCAATGTTTAAAGGAGTAGACTCAACCCACTTTGTTCAGCTAGCCTACTATGACTCCATAGCCAACTAGCAGACTAGCATCCAATAACAATAACACACCGTTTAGCGCCAACACTTGGTCACAACAAACCACCAATATTGTGATATCACACTAAACAGATCATTCGTGTCTGTGTCAAGTTCCTTATATGACGCAGCAATGATTAGACGTTGGCTAGCTAGGACAAGTAAATTGTGGTTAGCTACTACAGTACAGCCAAATGGTCATGTTGGGTAGCTAGCAATGGCCACTGTGTCGACTCTGTTTGAAGAACGGCTAGCTAGCTAGCTTCGTGCTACAGCTGGCACGGCCGAGGACACTGCCAAGACACAGTAACTACCCACAACAACCCACGATGCCTAGCTATGACGCCGTAGCCAACCTGCAAGCTAGCATCCATTAACACACAACTTAGCATCAACACCTGGCCACAACAAACTGCCAAGAGTGTGTCAGCACACCAAACAGACAATTCAAGTCCGTGTCGAGTTCCCTTCACAACGCAGCAAAAAAAAAAAATAATAATAATAATAATAATAATAATTAAACGTTGGAACCAGCTCTCCAGCGTTGCTAATCGTTACCAATAGCTACCCGCTAGCTAGCTAGCCTCATGCCTCGAAACTAACCCACAAATTACCCACGGAAAGCTACAATAACAACAATAATACTAACCTACAATAAATACAATACCTAACTACAGCTAACTACCTACCTACGATCTAATACATGGTTAAGCTTTACTCAACACTACATGTAGCTTACCCCTACTTACCTACTTACCTACTTACCTCCAGCCAGAGAAAAACACGTCCTCTCCCGTCAGCTACCATCCACGTCGTGTAGTATTGTACAATACTACAACAACATCGCAGTACAGAGAGAGACAGAGAGATGGATAGGAGCGAGAGCGATAACGAGAGAGAGAGAGAAATGGGAGGGAGAGAGATTTGTAGGAAATGATGTCTTACCAGTGACTATGCCTCCGGCTGGTGTACACACCCCTGTCTGTGAGTTCACTGCAGTCCTGAACAGATTATACATTAGTGTGTATAACACACACACACACACACAAACACACAGAATACACAGGAAACAGACACATTTTATAATACCACACACGCACATTAGTGTTGTCACGATGCCAGTATCGCGACACTCCGATACCAGATATTCCATGGCAAAAAATAAAACAGGAAGCAGACTAAACTCCTTTAAAACCTCCTTTTGTAACATATTGTGTGGTATAACTTGCTAAAGAAACAAATGGGATTCTGGGTGTTTGTTTCCAACATTAGGACTGTTTCAAGAGCTTCAGTCCGCTATATGTTTTATTTCCTTTGCTTCTTTATTTCCTAGTATCATGATACTGTTGTCGTGACAACACTAATGCACACGCACCTTCCGAAACTTCCAGTGACCGGATAGGCTGAGACGAAGGATCCCATGATGTTGGTTAGACCAATAGCAAACAGTTCCTGGTTTGCATTGATCCTATAGTCATTCTGACTGGCTGGGGATTCAAATCAAATCAAACTTTATTCAAAGTGCATTTAAACTCGCTTAACAGCGAAGAAGATAGAGAAACAGAATAATTATGCAAATAAGTTAAATATACAGATTATTTTTTTGATATTCCATCCTCAATGTGACTTCTCTGGTCAAATAAATAACAAATAACCATTTAACAGAAAGAGCACACTAGTAACATGGCACAAACACACACACACACCGAAGGCTCTCACCGAAGGCTTTAGCGATGGCAATGCTCTCCAGTAGTCCCATGAAGGGGATGACAGCCAGCCCTCCTCCAAAATCCTGCCACGGGATTGGTCAGAAGGGGTTTTCAATCACTCATATCTGAGATGTGATTGGACAGCAGGGTTCTAATGGCTAATTACTGTTCCCTGATTGTCTTAGCATACTGCCCTGGGGACCTTTGCTGTAATAGCTACTTGTTACTTTTCACTGAAACCTAATTGGATAACTCAATACTGTGACAACTCAACACTGTTACAACTCAATACTGTAATATCATTGGTTCAGCTCACGCTCCACAACGGTGATAACAACTAAATTCCGTAATATAATTGGTTGAAACCCACTCTTCAGTGTCAACTCTGTATCCCTATTGGTCTGTCCCCCTGTCACTCCCCAACTCTGTATCCCTATTGGTCTGTCCCCCTGTCACTCACCTACTCTGTATCCCTATTGGTCTGTCCCCCTGTCACTCCCCCACTCTCCAGTGTCAACTCTGTATCCAAATTGGTCCATCCCGTCATTCCCCCACTCTGTATCCCTATTGGTCTGTCCCCCTGTCACTCACCCCACGCTGTATCCCTATTGGTCTGTCCCCCTGTCACTCACCCACTCTGTATCCCTATTGGTCTGTCCCCCCTGTCACTCACCCACTCTGTATCCCTATTGGTCTTTCCCCCCTGTCACTCACATCTACGAGCTCTCCGAAGCTGATGACGGTACCGTTGGGCGTGGTCTCGGAGAGGGGAGGGGCTCTGAACGGCGGCAGGCCCTGGGACGTTTTCCCAGTGATGGTGAAGACTGGCGAGCCAAACGCGTTCCACGAGAACGCCACCAAGGACGCCGCCACTACGACCAACGCATTACGCACTGAGGTGGGGAGACACACACATTATACACACACACACCTCCACACACACACACACACACACACACACACACCCCTCCACACACACACACACACACACACACCCCTCCACACACACACACACACACACCCCTCCACACACACACACACACACACACACACACACACACACCCTCCACACACACGCACACACACACACACACACACACCCAGGTACTGACCGGTAGCGATGCTCCAGACCAGACCGTGAGCGGCCCTGGTGAGGGTGGTGTCCTGTTCTGACGGGGGTTCTAAGGTACTCTTCATCCACGTCAACATCACCAACAGACACAGACACAGCAGACCTAGAACCACGTCTCCTATCCTACACACACACACACACACACATCACAACGATATTACACACACACACACACACACACACACACACAGGTGCAGCCTACTGTAGGCCTACTCTACCTGGTCTCAGGTATCCTGTAGAAGGTTAGTAGACCTGTCCTCTACTCTACCTGGTCTCAGGTATCCTGTAGAAGGTTAGTAGACCTGTCCTCTACTCTACCTGGCCTCAGGTATCCTGTAGAAGGTTAGTAGACCTGTCCTCTACTCTACCTGGCCTCAGGTATCCTGTAGAAGGTTAGTAGACCTGTCCTCTACTCTACCTGGTCTCAGGTATCCTGTAGAAGGTTAGTAGACCTGTCCTCTACTCTACCTGGTCTCAGGTATCCTGTAGAAGGTTAGTAGACCTGTCCTCTACTCTACCTGGCCTCAGGTATCCTGTAGAAGGTGTAGTAGACTTGCAGGAAGAACTCATGAGGTATGTCCTTCAGTCCCAGCACATTCTGGAGACACAACAACACTGGATTAACATTGTCCTCACACAGGGATAGTGTGTGTGTGTGTGTGTGTCTCACCTTGACTTGACCGAAGCCTATGGTTACCGCGGCAGCACAGGTGAAGCCTTTGATCACCGGAAAGGAGATGAAGTCCAGAAGGAACCCTGTAGAACCAGAACTATGAAAGTGATCTAGAACCAGAACGATCAATGGGGATTTAGAACCAGAAATGATCTAGAACCAGAACTATGAGGATGATCGAGAAACAGAACTTTGAGGATGATCTAGAACCAGAACTATAAGGGTGATCTAGAACCAGAACTATAAGGGTGATCTAGAACCAACACTATGAGTGATCTAAAACCAAAACTATGAGTGATCTAGAACCAGAACTATGAGGATGATCTAGAACCAGAACTATGAGGATGATCTGGAACCAGAACTATGAGGATGATCTGGAACCAGAACTATGAGGATGATCTAGAACCAGAACAATAAGAATGATCTACAACCAGAACTATGAACTATGAGGGTGATCTAGAACCAGAACTATGAGGGTGATCTAGAACCAGAACTACAAGGGTGATCTAGAACCAGGATTACGAGGGTGATGTCAAACCAGAACTATGAGGGTGATCTAGAACCAGAACTGTGAGGGTGATCTAGAACCTGAACTATGAGGGTGATCTAGAACCAGAACTATGAGGTTGATCTAGACCCAGAACTATGAGGTTGATCTAGACCCAGAACTATGAGGTTGATCTAGACCCAGAACTATGAGGGTGATCTAGAAACAGAAGTGATCTAGAACCATAACTATGAAAACAATCTACGACTTGAACTATTATTTCTCCCCTACCCAAACGTAGTAGAGCCATGGCGGTCTGTATGGTTCCACAGAGCAGGCTGAGGAGGACGGCTCGGACCGGGTCTCCCCCCACGTAGGAGGCACACAGCAGGGACATGATGGCAGTAGGACCCAGGGTTACATCCTTGGAGGTTCCCAGCACCGTATAGATGAACCCACCCATGAAGGCTGAGTACAGGCCGTACTGTAAAGAGGGGGATAATTTGATTTAAAAGGAGAGAGAGAGAGAGAGAGAGAGAGAGAGAGAGAGAGAGAGAGAGAGAGAGAGAGGAGGAGGAAAGAGAGAGAGAGAGAGAGAGAGAGAGAGAGAGAGAGAGAGAGAGAGAGAGAGAGAGAGAGAGAGAGAGAGAGAGAGAGAGTGATGGATAGGAGACAAAAAGAAAGAGAGTAGAGGAGAAGTGAGGGGGTTTGTAGGAGAAAATGGACGGAGAAGAGTGTAAGGTCATATAATCCCCTTGGTAAGGCTGTAGTGTACTGAAACATGAGAGGATTGATGACTATGGTCTATAGACACTCAGGCCTATTAACTGTGTCCCAAATGACACCCTATTCCCTAAACTATTCCCCCATAGGGCTGCGGTCAAAAGTAGTACACTATATAGGGAATAGGGTGCCATTTGGGATGCAGCCTGAGGTCTATAAAGCTACTGTATAGGATCTGATAACATGTTCAACACTCAACTATGCTTACTGTGAGGGGATGGAAAATGAAACAACGTACGTGTGTCAAAGGTATAGCAATACAACACTAAAATGGGATCCTATGCCTTCTGGCTAGAGAGGCCTTGTCCAAGAGATATAGCTGGTACTTCTACTACCACTCACCGGTACAGGTAGGCCTAACTATTTAACCCTGACGTCTCCCTCTCAACTGCACAGATAAACCCCGCCCCCAGCCCTTCCCTCTCAACTGTACAGATAAACCCCGCCCCCAGCCCTTCCCTCTCAACTGTACAAATAAACCCCGCCCCCGGCCCCTCCCTCTCACCTGTACAGATAAACCCCCACTCCTGGCCGCTCCCTCTCACCTGTACAGATAAACCCCGCCCCCGGCCCCTCCCTCTCACCTGTACAGGTAGGCCGGCCACCTCAGCATAAGCCAGGGCCTGTGGTACGGTGGTTAGTCCCACGGTGAGACCTGCTATCAGGTCCATCTGGAGCCAGCTCAGCCTGTACCTGGAGGTGGAGAAAATACAGAAATACTTGTGTTAGCTCCCCAAGGATTTAGCTTGGTGGGCTAACCCAGTCAGTGGGTGAGGGGGGGGGGGGATACGGGAGAGAGAAAGAGAGAGACAGAGACAGAGACAGAGGCTGCGTCCACAAATGGCACCCTATAGCCCTGGGACCTGGTCAAAAGTAGTTCACTACATAGGGAATAGGGTGCAATTTGGTGTGTACCCAACTAGCACATTTGGTTTTTTTAAAGTTCTGAGAATGGAAGTGAAAATTTAGCCTGTTCTGGGAACATTCATTTTTTGGTTGCAGGAGGATTCTGAGAACGTTTTACTATGGTTCCCTGAAAGTTTTCTTTGAGGTTTTATTAACGTTCTGATAACGAAAAGTATTGGTTATTTGAAGGTTAATAAATAACGTTCTGAGAACATGTTTCAAAGACTTTTAATAACACTGCTAGCTTAGTTTGGGTTAACTGTTTTGAACTCCAAGCACAGATAGGCCATGGAAATTCATCTGCTTAGGCATCAATCATGCAAACACATTTATTTTTTATTGTGGCAAGGCATCAGTGAGATTCGAATCTATGATATTCTGTTCTCTATCCATGGAATTAGTCCACTGCACCACCAGGATGGAGCTAGCATGCCATGTTGTTTTAACTCATACAAAGCTGTTCATTTTAGTATATTCAAACAGACCCCATATCAAAGTAATCAACCACTCATTAAGATCAAGTGTGGCCAATTAGTGGGCGCGGCCAACACAACTGAACACACGCAACAAGATAAAGGATAGAGAGTTTTGTTGACGCTGAGAATGGAATGTATATGTTTTTTAACTCTTAAGGATCGGACCCTTTTTTTCAATTTTCGTCTAAAATGACATACCCAAATCTAACGGCCTGTAGCTCAGGACCTGAAGCAAGGATATGCATATTCTTGATACCATTTGAAAGGAAACACTTTGAAGTTTGTGGAAATTTGAAATTAATGTAGGAGAATATAACACATTAGATCTGGTAAAAGATCATACAAACAAAAAAACGTGTTTTCTGTTATTATTTTTTGTTCCTTCATCTTTGAAATGCAAGAGAAAGACCACAATATAATATTGCAGTTTAGGCGCAATGCCACTAGATGGCAGCAGAGTGTGCGCAAAGTTTCAGATTGATCCAGTGAAGCATTGCAATACTGGACTATTTTGTATTAATTCTGCCCAAATGTGCCGAATTGGTCAATTGATACATTTTCAAGTACATAACTATAGCGAACATACAACAATGATATGGTAATACAAAATGTACGTTTACACACTCCCAGGAATGTCATACATGATGGATAATTTGCTTATACACTAACTTTCACACATCTAGATGGCCGGGCAGGGTGGGTGTGGAGCCAGAGACACCAGGGGTTCAAACTGTAGAACCCAGTTCCTACATTTGAATATAAAAATTGATTTAATCAAACAAAACTATGCTACATCTTATCTCTGGGACCCTTAGGATGACAAATCAGAGCAAGATTACTGAATGTAAGTACATTATTTACCTTCAGAGGTGAATGTATCAAACCAGTTGCCGTGATACGTTTTTTGTTGTTGTGCACTCTCCTCAAACAATAGCATGGTATTTTTTCACTCTAATAGCTACTGTAAATTGGACAGTGCAGTTAGATTAACAAGAATTTAAGCTTTCTGCCCACATAAGACATGTCTATGTCCTGGAAAGTTTGCTGTTACTTACAACAGTCATGCTAATCACATAAGCGCAAGTTAGCTCAACCGTCCCGTATACGGGACACCGATCCCGTAGAGGTTAAATAACATTCTTAGAACGTTCTTTGAACTTTACTAATGTTTTCTTGTGGTTATTATAGAAGGTTTTCTTAATGTTCTGAGAACATGACTTCAAATAGAACCATGAGGAAACCTGCAGAAAACATTATGCTGAAGTACTGAAATTCTCACAGAAGAACGTTGTTTCTTTATGTTCTCGGAACGTTCTGAGAACATGACATTAAATAGATCCATGAGGAAACCTGTAGAAAACGTAATGCTGAAGTACTGACATTTTCACCTAAGAAACATGGTTCTCAGAACGTTATGTGCTAGCTGGGCAGCCTTTGTCCTCTGTAGCTCAATTGGTAGAGCACGGCTCTTGTAACGCCCGGGTAGTGGGTTCGATCCCTGGGACCACCCATACGTAAAAAAATGTATGCACACATGACTAAGTCGCTTTGGATAAAAGCATCTGCTAAATGGCTTATTATTATATTATTATTTGTCCCTCATCACCAGAGAAAGAGATGAGGGTGGGACACCTACTTGGGTAGCCAGGTGAGGATGGGGAGCCAGGCCTGGAGGGTTCTGTAGGAGCAGCAGGAGGCCAGTCTCTCCCCCAGAGAGGACCTTCCAATCTGGGGCCCGGGCCGGTCCACCAGGGGCTCCATCATGTTGACTGGAACCTGGACGGGACAGGACAGGAGGGTCTGTAGTTGGTGAAGGGCCGACCATGAGATGGAGAGGAGGCGAGGAGATGATAATGCAGACAGAGAGCAGAGTCACAGACAGACAGGCAGACACACACAAAGTGCTGACAAGCAGTCTTTGAGACTACAGTACACACACACACACACACACACAAGGAAAACCAATCCAATCCAGAGTGTCTATAGACACACAAACAGGCAAACCCAGGAAGGTAGGAGGTAGCAGCATGCCAGGTAGGTTGTGTTTGCTTACCTCAGTCCTCAGGATGGGTGTGGTTCAGACTAGACTATAATATGACATCCACGTCTTCACACTCCAACCAGGCAGGTAAAAGAAGAGAAAACACCAAGAGAGCAGAGAATCACCAACTTCCCAGAACCGTCGGATCTCAAATCATTCTAGAATCCAAAAAGGCAAGATCCTCCCAGTGTGTCTCCATTCCATTTTTGGAATTACTGGTGCACTCACTGTGATAAAATAAAAGAAGAAAGCAGAAAAGTGGTTATTATCAATTACATCAGCAATAAAAGCCCATAAAGAAAGAAGACAAAGAAAGTAGAATAGAGGCAGACTGTATCAGACTGTAGTCTCCTGACAGACTTAAAGGAAAACTGTTTTGCTTGTCAGCAATCAAGTTTTCAAGATCTGTAACTTTCAAAATACAGAAATCATCCCGTATGACAAAACATTTTGGGACTATGTCAACAATGGACTAATGAAACAAATAGTGTACCAAAATATAGTTAAAGGAAAACTCCACCCAAAAACAATTTTAAAAAGTGTGAGATTTAGATCTGGGTGCCAACCAAGATTAACTAGTCTGTGAGCTACAACCATTTAGGAGTCAGTCTACTGTACTCTACATTCATGAGTTCTACTGTACTGCCAACAGAGCATGAGCAAAAGATTGGACTTCTCAACCGATTTGGCATACTTATTTATTGAATATATAGTTTCTAAATTCAGTCGAGACAAAAGAACATACACAGCCTAACATAGGCAGATTGATTTACCTATCACCATGCCAACCCACCCCATTTAGAATATAGGGCTATGGTATCACCATGCCAACCCACTCCATTTAGAATATACGGCTATGGTATCACCATGCCAACCCACTCCATTTAGAATATAGGGCTATGGTATCACCATGCCAACCCACTCCATTTAGAATATACGGCTATGGTATCACCATGCCAACCCACTCCATTTAGAATAACGCATGACATGCATCCACTCCTTAGAATACGGCTATGTATCACCATGCCAACCCACTCCATTTAGAAATACGACATGGTATCACCATGCCACCCACTCCATTAGAATTAGGGCTATGGTATCACCATGCCAACCCACTCCATTTAGAATATAGGGCTATGGTATCACCATGCCAACCCACTCCATTAGAATATAGGCTATGGTATCACCATGCCACTCCATGAATATAGGGCTATGATCACCATGCCAACCCACTCCATTTAGAATATACGGCTATGGTATCACCATGCCAACCACTCCATTTAGAATAAGCTATGGATCACCCATGCCAACACCCACTCCATTTAGAATATACGGTCTATGGTATCACCATGCCAACCCACTCCATTTAGAATATAGGGCTATGGTATCACCATGCCAACCCACTCCATTTAGAATAGGGCTATGGTATCACCATGCCAACCCACTCCTTGAACGCTATGGTATCACCATGCCAACCCACTCCATTTAGAATATACGGCTATGGTATCACCATGCCAACCCACTCCATTTAGAATATCTGGCTATGGTACCACCATGCCAACCCACTCCATTTAGAATATACGGCTATGGTATCACCATACCAACCCACTCCATTTAGAATATACGGCTATGGTATCACCATGCCAACCCACTCCATTTAGAATATATACGGCTATGGTATCACCATGCCAACCCACCCCATTTAGAATATACGGTCCTCTGTAGCTCAATGTGGTCCTCTGTAGCTCAATGTGGTCCTCTGTAGCTCAATTGGTAGAGCATGGCGCTTGTAACGCCAGGGTAGTGGGTTCGATCCCCGGGACCACCCATACGTAAAAATGTATGCGCACATGACTGTAAGTCGCTTTGGATAAAAGCGTCTGCTAAATGGCATATTATTATTATTCCATTAGAATATACGGCTATGGTATCACCATGCCAACCCACTCCATTTAGAATATCTGGCTATGAATATACGGCTATGGTATCACCATGCCAACCCACTCCATTTGGAATATGCGGCTATGGTATCACCATGCCAACCCACCCCGTTTAGAATATACGGCTATGGTATCACCATGTCCACCCACCCCATCCCATTTAGAATATATGGTTATGGTATCACCATGCCAACCCACCCCATCCCATTTACAATATACGGCTATGGTATCACCATGCCAACCCACCCCATTTAGAATATACAGCTATGGTATCACCATGCCAACCCACTCCATTTAGAATATGACGGCTATGGATCACCATGCCAACCCCTCCTTTAGAATCTACGGCTATGGTATCCATTTGGTCACCTACAAACAAGCAAGATTTCTGGCTCTCACAGACCTGTAACTTCTTCTTTAAGAGGCTCCTCTGTCCTCCACTCGTTACCTGTATTAATGGCACCTGTTTGAACTTGTTATCAGTATAAAAGACACCTGTCCACAACCTCAAACAGTCACACTCCAAACTCCACTATGGCCAAGACCAAAGAGCTGTCAAAGGACACCAGAAACAAAATTGTAGACCTGCACCAGGCTGGGAAGACTGAATCTGCAATAGGTAAGCAGCTTGGTTTGAAGAAATCAACTGTGGGAGCAATTATTAGGAAATGGAAGACATACAAGACCACTGATAATCTCCTCGATCTGGGGCTCCACACAAGATCTCACCCCGTGGGGTCAAAATGATCACAAGAACGGTGAGCAAAAATCCCAGAACCACACGGGGGGACCTAGTGAATGACCTGCAGAGAGCTGGGACCAAAGTAACAAAGCCTACCATCAGTAACACACTACGCCACCAGGGACTCAAATCCTGCAGTGCTAGACGTGTCCCCCTGCTTAAGCCAGTACATGTCCAGGCCCGTCTGAAGTTTGCTAGAGTTCATTTGGATGATCCAGAAGAGGATTGGGAGAATGTCATATGGTCAGATGAAACCAAAATAGAACTTTTTGGTAAAAACTCAACTCGTCGTGTTTGGAGGACAAAGAATGCTGAGTTGCATCCAAAGAACACCATACCTACTGTGAAGCATGGGGGTGGAAACATCATGCTTTGGGGCTGTTTTTTCTGCAAAGGCACCAGGACGACTGATCCGTGTAAAGGAAAGAATGAATGGGGCCATGTATCGTGAGATTTTGAGTGAAAACCTCCTTCCATCAGCAAGGGCATTGAAGATGAAACGTGGCTGGGTCTTTCAGCATGACAATGATCCCAAACACACCGCCCGGGCAACGAAGGAGTGGCTTCGTAAGAAGCATTTCAAGG